ACAACAACTCATCAAAGAACCCCATCTTTAATATTAGGTAAGCAATTTTAAGCAATTTTAAGCAATTTTAAGCAATTTTAAGCAATTTTAAGCAATTTTAAGCAATTTTAAGCAATTTTAAGCAATTAAGATTATGCAACACGAAGTTAACTACAAAATTAGAAACATTCGCGAATATCAAACAAAGCAAAATGAACGAAAGGACAAAGTCCAAATCCCAGCCTCTCACGTCACGCTTGACCATGACCAAAATCACGATCACGATCGTCACGAACGTTTCACGAACAAGTCGTGGTCATCACCTGATATCTTGCATCAGCCGTGACCACGTATTGACAGTACGGTCCATAGTTCGTTTAATTTGAAAGCGAAAGCGAAATATTGTCCTAGTAGCACTAGTAATACTATTAAAATAGCACTTAGTGGGACCAGAACAAAAATCCTTAATGATGAATCGTTTTCATCCGGTCCGAATCTAACAAAAAGATCAAAACTGAAAATAGCCTCAACATTGTTGCTTGAGTCATGCATTTCTTTTGTTTATTCCCTGTTCAGTTGCTTTCGTCTTTCTTTCTTTTCTTTGTTGATTCGTAAGCATTTCGCATCTCCCCTGACGTTTTTAGGGTCGAAAGGTTCTTACTACCTGAAGCGTGCTCAAAGTGGTTACCATAACGCCGATTACATCATGACGCATACGTAGTTGGCCCTGGTTGATTGTTCGCCATTAAATTGGCGTTTATCGTCAGTCTTTTCCAATGGCAAACTCCTTAAATAGCAATTTTTAGCTCTTTAGCGCGATATTATGTTTTTGATTGAGGAGTCAAGAACCCCCTCCCCTCCCCCCGAAGTATGGTATCAATTTCGATTCTCACATCTGTTGTTGTTATTGCATCATCTATTTGTTTACTAACGCGTGTATAGGCGAGCTTTATTCAAGAATATTATAATACAGCTTAATGTATGAATAATGCATAAAAGATAAGAACACGAGAGTCTATTGTCTTTTTTCCGTTTTGCCCCTAGTTGAAATATTCCATGACCAAGTTAGTCACTGTCATACTTATTTATAAAATTTCAAATCTCGAATTGAGGAAGAGAATTATTGAAGAGGAAGATGGCTAAAGGAGTTAGAAAGGTCATCTTACACGAAATGAAAATAGATTATAAAATACGTAGTTAAGGTACTTCCCCTTCCCCTCCCTCCAGAAGTCGTCGCATTACAAAAATCATACGTGCAGAAACGTCCAATCAGATTTGATCACCTCTAAGTAGTGTGACACGCGCCTTTAAAATGATGCCACAGCGCTCGAATGCCCACCTGACAATCTCCACGAAAACCAAAATTCTAACCCCAGAGACCATATTTTTTCAACAGAGTAGAAATAAAAGGAATTAAGAGAAGCAGATTTGAGAAATTTGATGCTAAAACGAAGACGGATTTGACTGACAATGGAAGGTCAGGGTTATTTTAAGACGGAAGTCACGTGGCGTTGTATGACGCAAGAGGGCCTAAAGGACATGCGCAGTAGTGATTTGTAGTTTGATTGCTGGAAGGGGAGCATCACAAGGCTGTAGTCGTTAGTCCATCAAGCTCGTTGAAAACCTCAATATCTCCGCTCTAAAACCAATCCATACATCATGAATGGTATAAGTACAGCATCAACGACTCCTCTATCAAGGGCTATTCCTTCCAGACGGATCCCAGTTCACGATCCTTCGCAAATGCCCATGGATTACAGCACGACTCCCGGAGGAACCATATATTCCACAACTCCTGGAGGTAGGCTTCTTTTTGTCTTTTCTTTAGCGCTTTGCAAACGCATTAACGCCTTCTTCGCTAAATACAGCTGAATTTAAGATTCTTTGAATGAAAGAGCAAACATATTTCTTCCCTCAAGGCATTATTTAACCTTCATTTTGCATCCAAAAGAAGCGAAAATTAAAGGCTTCGAAATTGGGAGCACAAAAACATCCGTTTTGGGCGAATTTCGCTTTTCATACTCTCCTTTTAAAAACTTAGACTCTTTATTTTCGTAAACGTAAACCTTTTGAGCTTGTAAAATTATATTAGGGGGCTTAAAGCGAAAGAAAAAGCGAGTAAAAATCCTTTGGAAAAAGTGCGTCATAACATTTTAAATGCGCAGTTCCCGGGATTCCCCTACGYATGGACTCTCTCCAAAATAAATTCAAATTTCCAATTATTTTATCCTACAGCTTAATAACCCAACCAAAAACCAAAACTAAATGCTTTTGGAATATTTTAAGCACGCTGTGTTGGGGTATATTGGATGCAGCTTCAAGATCTTCTTCTGTACACAATTGTACAATATATATACGTCATTGTTTTGTTGGAGGCCTTAATAATTTCCGTTGTTTCACCCATTTAGATCCTAAAATTTCACCTCTTCCAAATCTAGAAACGTAAATTAGGAATATTCTAATCAAACTGGTAGGAATTTGTTCGTTAGTTTGAAGTTTTGCGGTGGAAAATTGCTAATTTGCGAGATTAGTTGGACAATGTTTTGGTTCGGATGTAAACAAGAAAAGCACGTGTTTGGGGGCGAGGGGTTCAGTATTGTATAACTTGATCCCCACTTGAATCCTTCAGCCAATCAGATCCTACCCTATCCTATTACACTATCTTTGCAGCTTATATTTTCATAAATTTGCACTAATTAACTACATATTTCTATTGTTTACAAATAATGGATAGTATTTGAAGATTAAAATCTTTGTTTGGTGTCATATTTAGGGATGTTATATGATGCACAAMTTATTAGTTATGAACAGAATAAACAAACTTGAAAGTAGAATAAATCTAAGTTCTTATTCTCTCTACCATAGAGATTTTTACTTATGAATAGAAATTTTAAATATAGAGCTAAAATATTTGCTTAAAAAACTTTATATATATATATTATACTGATAAATATTTCATTTTACTCTTGTAATTTTAGCATGTTATTTTTAATCTATATTTGTAGATTATATGCCAAATCAAGATCAGATGTTTACTAATATACTTTAATTATATTGATCTTGAAASAACCTCTGGGCTGATCTAAGTCAGGGGATGGCTAACTCACAGATCAAACCCTGAAASAACCTCTGGGCTGATCTAAGTCAGGGCACAGCTAACTCACAGATTAAACCCTGAAACAACCTCTGGGCTGATCCAAGTCAGAGCATGGCTAACTCACAGATTGAACCCTGAAACAACCTCTGGGCTGATCCAAGTCAGAGCATGGCTAACTCACAGATTAAACCCTGAAACAACCTCTGGGCTGATCTAAATCAGGGCACGGCTAACTCACAGATCAAACCCTGAAACAACCTCTGGGCTGATCTAAGTCAGGGCATGACTAACTCACAGATTAAACTCTGAAACAACCTCTGGGCTGATCTAAGTCAGGGCATGA